GGCTCCTCTGTGACGTCGCGGAGCAGGAAGAAAACACAGCAAAACCGGGTCCGGCTGAAAACGCAGCTGAAGTGTATCCCTTTGGATCGTATTGAGCGCCCGGTTAGGCAATTACACGCCAGCATACTCCCTAGCAGAAGTAGTGAAAGTCCAGACCAATCTGTGCTTGAGCCAAGTAGCATGGCGCAAATGTGTCTCATCCATAAGAGCTCGCTCAGTGATAAAGCTGCAGGGCTCTGTATCAATCTGAAAGTGCTGGAAGATAGGCGTGAGAAGACTGTCAATGCTCTTTGTCTTGTCCCCAGAGCTCGTGAATGGCATGGTCTTCAGAGAGACCAAGTGCTTTGCAAAAATGGCGCCCAATTTGGCGCAGACCATGCTCTCCATAGGGTTCTCGTCATCCAGCATACTAGCGAAGTCGTAATAGAGCAGAACGAGCTCGGTGACACGCATCTTGCTCGGCGCAGACTTGCCGAAATGGTGTTGCCTAGAAGGCGCAGAATGTACCTCATCACGGGATGCCTGACATCAGTCTGCGTGCTCGTCTTGCTTTAATAGACACCATTCCCGAACTTGGACCAGAAAGTCTGCATGTGAGTCCACTGCGAAGGTGTGAGCACTTCTGAAGGATGGTCATCGAAACCATAGATACCACAAAGCTCAAAGAGACTGAGCCTATAGCAAATGCCTCTGATCAGGAAAGTGAGTGTGCCCTGTTGCGCTGTCTTGGCCAGCTCGTTCTCCTAATACACGCGAACGGTAAAGAGGAATTGGCGAACCAGATCGGGGTACAGATCGTACTGCTGTGTCGTCGTGCCCATCCCGATCCTCTTGAGAACCTGGAGAACCTCATCCTGAATGCCCATCTTGTACAGCGCTGTGATGTCCGCGAATCTGGTAGGAAGGATCTGCACTTCATGCCACGCATTGTTGAACAGCGTATCATACTCATCCCAGTCTTCCTGTATGTCGCGGAAAATGCAGACATCCTTTGCTATCTCCTGTTTTGGGGTCCCTGCCCAAGCAACTGATACAAGAGTTTTGAGTTTCTTTCTCTATCACCCTTTGTACTAGTCATTGTATTAAAGGTTTTTATCAATCCAAAGGAGTTATGAATGGATGCCAATAGAATTGTGAGCAGAAAGCTTTAAGTCAAGTGGAATCAGGAAAGTTTGTTGTTTACACAACTAAAGCTATCAACCTAAGTGATCAAGCAGCAAACAGAACTCAAAAGAGAACAACTTAGCAATGATCAGAAGCAAAACAGAGCATTTAAAGCAAAATCCGAAATTCAAATAAGAGAAAGCAAGTTTCTAGATGTGGTTATTGACTTTGGAGAATTCAAAGGCAAGACTTAGGCTGCTTAAAACATCATTCACCATGCAAACAAGCAATCAATGCTAATTTCTAGACATAGAGTTCACAATCAAGCAAGTTAAGTCCAATCTCTTGACAAATAACCCTTTGCTAATCAACCTAACAAGAACTAACTCTCATTAGTGCTTGAACAATCATCAAGCATGAATAACCAACTCTATTCAAGTCAAAATACTCCTCAAACAGTCAATCTCTTGAGCTAAGGCCAGTAAATCCTCTATTAAACAAGATCAGCATTTCATCAAACAATTGGTGGGCAAAAGATGAAGCCTTAATCTAGGTTCATATGATCAAGACAAATCTAGCTTAAGAACAGATTAATAGAGAGGAATCAACCTAATTAAGCACTAACAAACCCTAATCAAGCCTTCATATTCCTCTAATCTGCCACATTTAAGAACCCCAAAAGGTCTACTCACTCATCATCATAGAAAACACCAAATCACAAGAGTAAATGATGCTAAACATAAATACAATAACTTTATCTAAATGTTTTAGAAAAGCTAGAGATAGATATGAAAGTGATTATATTTGTGAAATAAAAATTCATATGATAGGATATGATAAAAGGAAGAGACAATATAATCTGCCATCAGCTAATGAGATAGCAGGTTTAATAATCAGTGATTTTTCTAAAACTATTGGCGAACGAGATGTTCTTCTTCAACATAAATCAGGAAATTTTTAAAGAATATTGGCAACTCATCCTCTTTATATGGCTTTGCAATATCTATTATTATTTCCTTATGGGGAAGTTGGGTTTTTCGAAGGAATATCATATGTTCAAAGGTCATCATCCGATCACAATAATGGCTATGTTAAATGATAGAATATTACAGTATATGTATAGTATACAGAACAGAAACATCGAAGCATCCACTATTCTAAAAAGTGGTAGATTATTTCTTCAATATGTTGTAGATGCGTTTACGTCTATTGAGGCAAGCCGCCTCACATTTATTAAACTTAATCAAAAGGCAATAAGAGCTGATGTATATAATAATGTAAAGGACGCCATATCAAAGGGAGATCATGATCCACGTAGTCTTGGTAAAAGAATTATATTCCCATCATCAATTACTGAAAGTCCAAGATATATGGTAGAAAATATCAAGATGCAATGGCGTTTTGTCGTTGTTTTGGAAATCCTGATTTAATTATTACCATGCTAATCCTAAATAGAATGAAATAACTGAATATTTAAAAATTACTGGTGATACATCGGCCAATGACATACCTGATATTGAATCACGAGTTTTTCATTTAAAATTAGATGAGTTAATGATTTTAATTAAAAAGAGTGAATTTTTTTGACCAATAAATGGAGGTATATATATTTATGTTTGGGTTTTAAAATTATTTAGATAAAATCTAATTATTTATATGCTGATTTTTTTTTCTGCAGTAGTTTATACAATTGAGTTTCAAAAAAGGGGTCTCCCCCATGCACATATTCTTATATGGTTAATGTGGAGGTGATATTGCTTCCTCAATTGATATTGATAAATATGTTACTGTTGAATTGCCTGATAGAGTAATTGATCCCGAAGGTTAAGAATTAGTAGAACAACATATGATGCATGGAATGTGGACTTAATAGATCAAATAACTCTGGTATGGAGAATGGTGTTTGCACTAAAAAATATTCCCGGCCATTTTGTCTTTCATCATGTATTGATGAAAAAGGATACATTATATATAGGCGTAGAGATATAATATCTAGCTATGTTATGAAAAGTGATATCAAAATAGATAATCAATATGTTGTTCCCCATAATTTAGAGCTATTAAGGCTTTTTGAGCATATATTAATGTTGAATTTTGCAATAAAACAAGTGCAATTAAATAATTATTCAAGTATATTACAAAAGGCGTTGATAAGGATACAATTGTACTGGAGAACAATGTCAATAACAGTACAACTAATTCTGATGTAGTTAAGTACGATATAAATGAGATTGAAAATTATCTTGATTTCTGATATGTATCCGCTTATGAATCGATGTGGCTAATTTTTAAATTTGAGATACATCATCAATATCCTCCAGTCCAGAGACTAAGCATACATCTTCATGGTCAGCAACTTGTGCTTTTTAATAATTCAAGTGATTTAAATAGTGTTGCTACTAATTATGAAAGCAGATATGTTTATGGCTTATTTAGAGATGAACAAATCAGATCCTGATGCCAGAAAGTTATCATATGTTCAATTTCCGTCAAGGTACGTTTGGAATAAATCAGATCACACGTGGACAAAAAGAAAAAAGGTCAATCAATTGGAAGATTGTATAATGTTCATCATTCGTCTGGTGAACTATATTATCTTAGAATTCTAATTAATCACCTAAAAAGACCTACAAATTTTAAAGATATGTTAACTGTGAAAAAAATATAAAAGATTTCAAGAATCATGTGTTGCTCATACTTGAAGGAGATGAAGAATGACATGAGGCTAACAAATAAGATGATATGGAACAGCTTTATTGACAACTTTCAATAAAGATGTAACAAAGATGTTAAACATATCAGCAACAGATTTGGTTAATTATTATGTAAATATGATATTTGTATTATTAATACTCAAATAATTATTCAATAAATACAATAATTTGAAATAAAAATTGTAATAAAAATTGCAATAAAAATTGCAGGAAAAAATGTACAATGACACATCAGATGAAGCAATTATTTCATTTATATCAGAAAAACTTATTGGAAAAAAATTCAATTTAATTTGAAAATTACATCATTTAATTTCAAATCGACTTCAACTGGATTAACAATAACTGGTGTCTCTGTTGATATCATAAATATAAAAAAGTAAATTAAATCTAACAATTGTAACTAATATAATATTAGATATAAGAATAAATTTTAATAATAATTTATTACAACAATTTTTAACAACAAAAAATATTTTATATCAAGAAGATATAAAAGAAGATTATATTGCATTGAAGCAACTAAAGGAAGAAAAAAAATAAAATTGAAAATTCAAAGTGCAAAAATAATTCTGCTCTAACAATACAAGTAAAGACAAAAAAGAGTAATTAAAAACAAAAACGTAGATACAAAAAAATACGACAACTTTGCTCATGGAGAATAAAGACAATAATACCAAAAAAAGCACAAAGAAAAAGAAAGAAGATAATTGATGATAATTTTATCAGTTTTTAATATAATATGTAAAAGTTAAATTATACATATTGTTTATATAATTTTAGTTATACATTTTTAATAGTATTATGTCACTAATGATTTATATTCATAATAAATAATTTAATTTAATTTTATATTTTATTATTCTAATTTATAATTGTCAGATTAATTAAATGTAATCACAATATACAATAAATAACAACTTTAAAATTATTTCTTATAATATTTTTAAAAAATTCTAATTTTAATTATACAATTATATATTTTAGTAAAGATTTTAAATGTCTGTGCATTAACGCACAGGTTTGTTTCCTATACTTTATAATAACACAAATAAAATATTGTATTATATGCTCTAATCAAAAAATTCTGTAATTTTATATTATTTTATTTAATTTGAATCCTCTTTTGTAATAATTAACTTATTAGATCAAAATATAATTTTATATTTTACAAATCAACCAAAACATAATAACAAAATATTATATTGATATTTAAAAAAAAAGTCTTACATAATATCATACAAGTCTTATACTATCATACACACTAAATACACACTAAATATTCAAGAATGGATAGACAAAGCTAAAGTTAGAACGCTAATCTGACAACTTGACACATTTTAAATAGATAAAGTGTAGACCTCTGAAGCAGAGTCGAAATCAATGAGATCGAGATCCTTCCCAAGCCGAAGATGATCCTTGATTGGAAAACTAAACTCACGATTGACTACCAACCTACAAAAGAAAGTAATGAACATTTTATAGAAAAATCCTTTCACAATTATGCAGCAAAATGGCATAGTCAAGGAAAGTAGTTCAGGGAGATATGAACAAACTAACTACCTTCATTCTTATTGCCGATGTATCCTCTCAACCAACAGAAACATCAGGGTGAGACATAATTAATAACATGTTGGAGTTCATCTTTAAGCTTCACAAGGTCTTCTTCCAGAGTTACAAGACTTTCCTTAAGGTTTTTACCTGAAGGTGAAACACTCTTTTATCTTAATAAAGAACATAGACTGACAAACAAAAATGGATTCGACGCTTTACCTTCCTCTACGACTACGAGTCTCTCGCGTTCTGATGGTTCAAGCTTCAATTTCATCTTCTTCGCAAATCGCAAGGTTGTTTCTTTCCTTGCGAAGCCCCTCAACTTCCTGCTATCTGCAATCGCTGAGAAGAAGAAAACAACAGAAGTAATTCAATCTCTAATCCTAGCTGACGTCACATATTTCCAGTACTCAGAATCCCCAATTCGAATTTGAGTTAATTGGTAACAGAGTGGAAACATATACAAAAGACCCAGAAACAGTAAATTGCTTCAACAAAGACCCATATACTAACAATATTCAAATCACTGCCAAAATGTAGTGAATTTTAAGGCAGACTAAAGAAATTTCATTATACATAAAAAGAAAAAAAGGAAGCACACATTTTCTTATACATGAAACAGAGCAGACAAATGACTTGATTCCACAAGAACATTTGCATTTATAGCCAAAAGGCGATTCTTTAAAATCAAATTAGTAGAGAAGTGAAAAGATTAATCACCTCTATGACATGCCGGGCATCTCCAAAACATGCAGATCTTCATCTTAGGATGGGTATGTGTGGTAGCTTGACAAATTCACATAAATACCAACATAATGTTAAAGACTCAAACCCAATATGTGTCGAGAAAGGAATGTTTTCATCACCTTCTCAACGAGATTGCAAGCATGGTCTGGAGAGTGGAGAATCTAGTAGTAAAAGACAGAGAAGTTCAAAGCCAGACCCAGACGGATCCATCGTGTGGGTTGGAGCCAATTCGAAGTTAGCAATGTCCTAAAAAAACAGATCCACGAAGATGTATCATACTGAAAATCTGAGAAAGACAAAATTCAGGAGAAAGCTACATTCCACGATACTCCAAATTAAGATGATCCAAGACAAAAGAGTAAATGAAACAACGAATTAACATAGACCCCTACAAGGGATCTGCTTTTAGCGAAAATACAATCGATCCAAAATCGACAATAAAGGAAACAAAACAACGAGTGAGTGGAAAAGGGCATTAAACACTTACGAGATTCATCCGATTCCACAGCCAAATCAAGAAAGGGGCTTACAGAAAAGTCTTCCTCACCATCACCGATTAGAATGTACTTTTCTTTCTTTAGTTTCTCTAAATCTGCTTAACATTTCCAAAGGATTAATTATTCAACATTTAACATTTATAAAGAGATAGAAAGAAATTTTAAAAATCTCTCAAACATACTCTCATTCATGGCGCCGATTTGACCTAGAAACTAAATCAATAGATCCCACAATCAAGTCCAATCCTATATTCAAAATTTCAGATCTGAGACAGAAGATAGAATACCTGAGCGGCTTTGTAAGCGGGGAGGGTATGCTTGACGACATCATGAGGTACGACGAACGCCGATTACGTTTTTGTAAACGACGGAGAGGAGGAGTAGGTTAGGGTTTAACCGTGCTAGACGTCGGCGGAGATGGAGTTAGGGTTTGGGTGAGCTATGTTAGAGGAGACGTCGGAGGAGATGGAGAGGGGAGGCAACTTTTCGACAGAAGACGAAGGGAGGATCAAAATCTGGAATGACCTCCCATAAAAGGGTAAATTGCTCAGATAACCTCTTTATATTATAATTTTATTTTAATTTTTTTAATAAATAAAAATAATAAAATTATTATATTGTCATTTTTTTTTTCTTTTCCAAATCTCTGAAATCGATAACATTTTTCCATCTTTCTCTTTTTCATTTAAACATTCTTCAAACCTTAATTCAAACTTTTTTTTTTTCTATCGACGATCCAATTGACACCAAAAACCACCAATTTTTGACCAGTTCCGTTTCTGATTTTCCGATCCGATCTCATGGCACCTCGTACAAAAAGATGGAAAGTTCGGTTGAGAACGCCCACATCCTCGCCAGATCCTCCACCGCCACCGTCGAGTTTAAACCGGCTTTACCGTCGCAACCTTCATTATCACAACCAGCATCGGTAAACCCTAAATTTTGTGGAACCATGGCTAGTATAACTAGGTCCAACTAGTCAAACTAGCATGAGTAGTTCAACTAGTTCAAGTAGTCCGACTAGTATACGTAGTTCAACTAGAACAATTAGTAAAACTAATTGCAGAGAAGGACATTGCTGAAGAGGAGGCTATTGCTGCAGAGAAGGCGATTGCAGATGTTATTTTTGGTAATGCAGCTGCGGAGACTCAAGTTGTAGAGACTCAAGAGGATAGTGTTGTAGTTACTGGCGCTAAGAGGACAGTGTTGTCGCAGTCGAGCCTGCTTATGGTGAGAAATGGTTCGCTTTTTACACCTTTTTACTCTTTTAATTATCTAACTAAGAATTTGATTATAGTTATTAGTCTGATTTTCATTGATTTTTTTTTGCAGAGAGAAAAGTCTACAAGTCTAGTGTGAAAGTCCTTACAACTAAGAGGTTGATCAAAAAGTGTATGAAGTCAAGATTTCCAAGAACTCCAAAACTCCATAGCATAAGAGAAATCTAAAACCTTCACATGTGTTGCAGTCTCCTTATATTCCAAAATGATAACTTATTTCTTGGTTTTATGTATTTTTAGACTTCTAATAAATTTAGACTTATTATAAATTTAAGTATTTTCAGACTTAATATGTTTATATATACTTAATATCGCAAGTACAACTAGTATTACTACATCCAACTACCATGTAAAATATTTAAAATCATCGCAAGAAAATTTAAATGAAAAAAACGTGCACAGACATCGTGTAAAACATTAAAAACGTGCTTAAAAAAATTGAATCTTTAGCACTGAGTTGTACCAAGGAACCAGTTGTATTTTAATTGTAAAGAGTTGTACTTTGGCCCTAAAACTTGTAATTGGTGGTACCATTCTCTAAATAAATTTTTTTTAGTTGTACTTACGAAATTAAGTATATAAACTACATTCCACATATTAATATATAATTAAATGTGTACATATATTTTGCTAGTTTGTTTTCCATGTTTGTGTCATTAAGATTGTGAAAGTAACCTTAGAAGTGTAAGGTAGATTATGGAAAGATAACATCTTCATCAAATCAAATTATGAAATTTGTATTTAGTTCATTAATTTAGTTGTGGAAATATGTTTGCAATGTTTTGATAGCCTATTTAACATGAGAATATGTATATATAAACATTTTCATAAATGTAATTAAAAGTTACACTAGTTGTACCAATTAAACTAAAATTTAGTTGTACTATTATCATTCAAGATAATTGGAAGGCCTTATAGGTTCGACTATCAGTGGAAGGTAACTCAGCACAAGCTTTGTCGTCGCCTCATCTACCATAATCTTACTCCTTATCCTATTAACTAACCGACAATAAGTTATCTTCTCTAACTTTCCCCTAATAACTAGAGTAGAAAAACCACGTTCTTTCCTATTCCATTGTACATCATCGCCATGATCTGAATAATATCCGCCGTGATCAAAATGTATTACGAAACAATCTGTTATCCTCTGTAAAAGAACAATAAACGACATCAACACGCAATAGTTGTACCAGTCTGACCATTTACGTACACGTATTTATAGAAGTTGTACCTGTTATACCACTTATACAACTTATACAAGTTGTACCAGTTATACTAGTTATCCGATTATACTAGATGTATCAGTCGTACTAGTTATACTTTATTCGCGGGGGGATTCAGAAAATGCTGGCTGGGGTGAATTTTTTTTTAATTAATGAAATGATTCATTAAGGGTAAAATAGAGAATTCATATTAGGAAGGTTATGAGAGATTGGTAAGGGTTATTTTTCATTTGACTTCCTGTACGGAAGGTCATATCAGATTTTGATCAGACGAAGGGATCAGCGATGAGAGAGGGAGATAAAAGAGCGACAACGAGAGAGTGTCGTGGAGCTCTGAGTGTCGTTGGTGAGATATTTTGTTTATGTATCAAAGAAGAGTTTTAATCTGAGATGCCCCTCTCACTCAAACCAAAATATCAAATACCCCCCTTCTATTTCTTTTTCATTTTGAATTAATTTTAATTCAGAAAACTATTAAAATTACCTAAAAACCTACTCAATTAATCAGATTTACAATTATACATGGATTCTACCCGCCCACCCAACTAAAATCGGATCTGATTTCTAACCCGAAAACTAAAATCCCTAACCCAAAAAAAATTAATCCAAAACGACGCCTCCTCCTCTTCACCCCCAAAACTGTCGTCGTTGGAACCCTTCATCTCCATAAAACTCTAACTCCTAACTCCTTCATTCCTAATTCACTCAATTTCAAACTGCTTCCATCTCCTCTCTCTTGAACTCAATCGTCTTTATATCTGCACTTTCAATCGGATTCAATGGTCAAGACAAGATGGACAACAAGGAGGAAGAAGAAGAAGACTGTTGAGGATGCGAATCCGCCGATTGATGCCATTGAAGAAGAGGTTGAAGGAACTACGGTTCCCATTGGCGAGAGACATGGAGAAGATAATGAAGAGAATGATGACGAAGAGACTGAAGAAGAAGGAGACAATGAAGAAGAAGACAGAGCGAAAGGAGAGAGTGACAATCAAGAAGAAGAAGAAGATAATGAAGAAGAAAACTCCAATGAAGAAGAAGATAATGAAGAAGAAGGAGACAATGAAGAAGAAGACGGAGAGGCCTCCGAACAAAACTCGGCGGACGGGGAAGATGAAAGTCTTGTAAGTATTTCGATTCCATTGGATTGGATTCGTAGTTAGGTAGAACTAGGGGAAACTAAATTGTTTTTGTTAGGTAGAACTAGGAAAAACTAGTATAACTAGGTAAAACAAGTCCTTGTTACATGTAGTACTAGTATAACTAGGTAATACTAGGATTTGTAGTTATTAAGTAATAGTAGTATAACTATATAAAACTACTCGGTTGTTACATGTAATACTAGTATAACTAGATAATACTAGGATTTGTGGTTGTTTAAATAATACTAGTATAACTACATGATACTAGTATAACTAGGTAATACTAGTATAACTGAATAAAACTACTCGATTGTTACATGTAATACTAGTTTAACTAGTACTAGGATTTGTGGTTGTTTAAGTAATACTAGTATAACTAGATAATACTAATCGGATTTTATTTGTAATACTAGGAATTACTTGGTACAACTAATCGGATTTTATTTGTAATTCTAGTATAACTAGATACAACTAGTCGAATTTTATTTGTAATACTGGAATAACTTGGTACAACTGAATATTTTTGTAGGATTCCGAGGAGCAATTGACAGCACTACAACCTATGAAAATGTACTTCCCACCGACAGAGTATAAGAAGAAGATTAAAATATCGACAAGGTGTTACATCTACGAAGCTTTGACGATGCTGGACAATTTGAAGCCTCCGCTCTCACCTATAGAGAGGTCATGGTTTGAGACCCATCCGCAATTCAAGCACATTTTCCACTTGCCAAGGGACAAATATCACAAGGTTATGGGCATGTGGATGCTACTTCTTCGAACAACATGCATCGAGAAAGAGAAGGAAGCTTGGTTTGTCGTCAGTGGCGTTCCTATCCGTTATGGGCTGAGGGAACACGCCTTGATGTCAGGATTAGACTGCCGCAAATATCCACTCAATTATATGCGAGAGGGCAGTATGGACTTTGTCAAGAGGCATTTTGAGCGATCAACAATCAGACATCAAGACGTGAAGGAAAAGCTAGAGGAAATGGATTCTGGTCGAGATAGGTTAAAGATGGCTGTCCTCTACTTCTTATCCATCATTGTTATAGGGCAGACAAAGAATAGAGGAGATGCTACGCCCGTGTTGGAATTCTTTCAGAGAGCAGTGTCTGATCTCGAGTTGTGTAAGACATTTCCTTGGGGCAGATTGTACTTCGATCACATGCTAGGCGAGATCTCGCACACGATGACTCATTTTGGAGGAAGCGTCAAAGAAGGTGTATTATGGCTGATTCCAGGTTTCTGTATTTCTATGGAGGTAAGGTACTTCCTGTTATAATTGGGGTATTAGTTATTGACTACTTGTTATAATTGAAGCATACTCTAACTCCTTTAACCATATGTGTGTTGTGAAGCTTTTAGCATTTGAGGCAATTCCAGATTTGGGGAGTAGATTCCGAGAAGCTATTCCAAGCGCACTGATGAGTTGCCCTAAGATGTGCAAGACAAGGTTCAAGAAAAGCGAAATGAAAAGGTTTCCTCTTAAGAGTATAAATCAACACCTTGGTGGAATTAAGGTTAGTTATTCATCTCATACTTTG